CAGATGATGGATTATTTTGACATCATTGCTCTTCCAGAAATACTGATCGACATGGCTCCTACATTGGTTACATGAAAACAGCAATAACAATCTTTATAGTGGATGTATAGGAGCTGTACAACCCACATTTGGGGTCTACCCATCACGTATATTTGTGTGTTGGTTATACAAAACATGTTATATGCATGCCTTAATTAAAGGATGAGAGGTAGAACTGGTATTTCTACCCTTATTGGCTCTGCTTTTGCTTTATTAATAGAGACCAACCCTCAAGTAACTCCAGCTTCACAGTTTCGTCTCCTGCCCTTATAGCTTTTGCTATCCATTTGGCAAGGGGTTCTTGTCCCTCTGGGCTCTACATGAGGGCCTCTCTGTTACTTTCAGAGAATCGGATTAGTTACTCAGGGAAGATATTTCTGAAGACATCGATAAAATCACAAGTTAATGCCACATGCCTCTCTGTCATGGCTGCCAAGCAGCACTTCTTCTAAGACACAAGTGAAGCTGGAGAAATACTTATGTACCACAAGAATGCTAATCATTCTGGAAAAAAGATTAGCTCCAAGCTATTGAAGCAGAAAAATAACTAGAGGTTGGTTTTCAGCACTTTGGAAAAACAGTTCCGGATCTTCTGTGGTCTGGCGAGATTGCATCCATTGGCATTTCCCACATGATGGCACATAAGATGATAGGACCATTGTCCCTGCTCTTGAAAGACCCATCAAGTTTGTTTTCCTTGAAACAATCTGATGATGCAAATTCAGTTTGGACAAACCACATCATATATTATTTCTAGGGCTTTCGTTACAAATGTCTTTGTATTGTCCTCTAGTTTTAGCCTGTTGATTAATCAATTAGATTTTGCATACTTTTGCTCAGAACAAACATCTGCACCCTCCTTCTCATTGCTCAAGGATTTAAATATTGTGGTCCACGAATGTCTTCAATCCTATCCTGTCCCCACCCCCTTGTAAAAGCATAGTTTAGCTTGTTGGGTCCTGGTCCAAAGTAGCCATGTCTGGGTAACATTGAGGTTGTTCAGTGTGGTTAGAGGAGTGCCTTCATATGCTATTTGTGAAGCTATGGAGACAAGTCACAGTTTCTCCAGAAAATAAATATGTTTTTCTTCTAAAAGAGCACAAAAATTGGAATTAACTGATTAAGTATGAAGTGCTTCCAGAAGGGAGAGAGTACACTGTGTTTCAGCTGCTCATGCAACCTAAGTAAAGGAAGGAGTCTTAAGACTCCCAGTCTTCCCCACATAGCAGTCCAAACTGAATAGGCAGACACTCTTCCAGGCACCACAACAGTACCAGTAGTCTGCAGAGGATCTGAAAAACAGCAGTGCCAGAAAGACCATTGGCTAGGAGTGTCTACTGTCTTAATGGTTATCTATTTCCCAGAGGCTATGCTGCATCCTGTGCAGACACAGGCATCCCAAATCATCTCTACGGGAGAGACAGGGAAAGCATGGCTTACGGATGCCTTTTATTCCCTATCCCTCTCTTTGCTGAGCCCAGGGAATAGTCTGAGAGTATGAAGGAATCTTATTGGCTCAGTAGCCCAGCCACAGATGACCAGAACATGTCTTCTCCTTCAGGTATTAAGAGGAGCATCTTCCAGGTCAGATGACATAATGTCATTGGAGACTTGAGTTCTCCTAGTCTTTGTAGAAGTTGAGTATTGCTAGCTCTAGATCTGTATTCGGAAATGGAAATTAGTCCTTTCCAGCTTAGGACAAGAATGGCCTTATGCTGGGGTCTTGCACACACACATTAAAGTGACACAGTTCTGGGCCAGGTAGTTCCAACCACATGAGGACAAAAGTGCTGGGAAACTGGGAGCAAGTTGCCAAGGGAGGGTTTGGAAAGAACATTGGTGTTGATTTCAAGTCTAGACAAAATACTCAATATTATTAGAAGTATAATTAAATCCATCCCACAGGGCAAAGAGGGACAGGGATTGGTAACTGGCTCCTTCATTCCTAAGTACTTCCTTTGGTTTATTATTTTATTCCCCAGTGTTTGTGACATTGCTTTGAAGTTGAAAAACTACCCTTGTTTTCTGGCCAGTTTTACCCTTTTCCCTTAAGCCAATATCGCTTGATTTTCTTCCTGGTATTTTGAATGGACTTTAAAGAGGACTCTTAATATAAATGTTATTTGTGGCTGACTAACATAGTACAGGTCTGGTAGTAAAGGTTAACTTCTGTTTTATAGCAAGAAGGGGAGCACAAGTTATTGAATACAATACTAATATAGACTTTGGGAGAAGTAGTTCATATACTTTCTGTATTATAGATGATGATTGAATACTTGATTGAGTGACAGAGACAGAACCACAGCAATCTGAAGGAGTTTGTTAATTCATTTATATCTTTGATTAGTGTCTACTATCAAGCAGACTCTCTCTTGAGTCAAGAACTGTTAAACTTCACAGAAGTTTTTCTGTGCACAGAGATGTCAAAATTGCCACTTTGCCCATAATACTTGTTGTCTGACTTTAATTCATACCATGATGTGGCATATGCTATTGTACAGTATCAGGAAGCAGGCCTGTGTTGTCACTATTGGGTTATTAGTATAGAGGCAGTCAGACCCATTGATTGATCTACCGAATTTCCATCATTAGGGGTAGTTAAATGGTGTGTGTATATCTCTGTATAAGTCATAGGTACTCACAGAGACCTGTCCCCTTGGCCTCCTCCTTACTTTATCTTAATATATTTTGTGCATCACATCTTTAAATATATGTTCTTGGATCAACACCAGTAGTCGTTAGCAAGTTGAAGCAGTTGCTTCAGGTGGAAGATGCTGGAGGACAGTAAGGGATTATGAGAACCTGAAGGATGAAGCTGTGCAATGGAACTTAGGGATGGTGAAGGCAATTTCAAAATACTGTTTTGCTGCTTGTCTACGCAGCTGTGCTTGAATGGAATGGGTGGGTGTGCCATCTTGTCTTTTGCCTCATGCAGCAAATACCTTCAGTATTTCCTGGAGTATGCATTTAAAAAGCCGGGAATCTGAAGGAAATCCTTGAATTTTGGAAGCAAAATCTGACTTTTTGGAAAATGAACATTTCTTTTTCAAATAAGATAGCAATGTTAGTGGTCCTCTCACAGCTAGCGACTTGCCTCACTATTGTATCACAGAATAATTCTGAAGTGAATCTACTTTTTTTCTGATGGGCCTGCCCCACAAACTGATAGGTAGAGAGTGTCCCTTCACACGGAGAAATGCTACTATGTGACAAACATCCAACATCATCAGGAGTGAATTTTCTCTTAGCACAAACAGAGTTCTGGCATCTCTGCCCACTAAATCAAAGTGCCTCCAAAAAATTGCCACTTGCAAAGACTCCAGACATGTTTATTTCATCCTATTTTAGAGACATTCTGTACTGTAGGCTTACACTGGCTGATATTAGCAAGAGGAGGGTTTGTGCAGCATTCAGGACCAAGCACTCCTGCTAAGAAGTTTCTTATTCCCAGTTTAGCCAAAGGCTCAGAATTCCCCAAGAAAGACACACTTGTCCCCAAAAATAAACCCCAAGTCTGAAATACTTAAAATGATCCTTGGTCAGTCCACTGAATGAGGTGACCCACTTGTTAAATAGTTGTGGTTGAAAATTATTTTCAACCAGTCATGTGATTATCTTTTCTATGGCCTCCTTCAAACCAAAGAAGACCCATAGATTTCTCTAAACTTCACACTAACATGCAAACGATAAGCAAAAACAATTTTAGCAACCAAGGAAATGCATCTATCTTTGAGCTTAAACTTGTAATGTATGTCCATTGAATTGATCCTCTACATTTTTCAGTGACTATGTTAATTTTAAGTAATGATTTTCTGGAAATCTTTGCAAAATATATAATGTACACAAGTCGATTTGTAATTGTGCTTGCAACAGGGCATTCGAAGTTGTATAATTCGAGATACCTTTTGAGGCTTTTTTGAGTCTGCAAATCTATAGGCTCATGATAAAAGACAGAGTCCATACCAATTAAATATGGCATTTTGAAGTGCAGGTGTCTGCAGATTTTCAGAAAGTTCAAAACCTACAGAGATTGCACTATCTTAGTGTTTACAAAATGCATGTCAACTGTGATGTCTGCTCATAATGGAAATACTTGAGCTAAATCTAGTGAACCATGAATGTCGAAGTCATATTACTAGATGTAAGAGCTATGGAGAAAACTGGCATACTGTCCTATGATTTCTTCATGGTATTTTTATGTTTGGCAAAAGGAAGTTCAAAAGGTTGCGCTTCTTCATCACCTGTCACAGTGCATGGGTAGCTGGCCCTTTACCAACACTCCATAAACAAACTCTTTTTTGGACTTTTGGATGACAGAAACTCTCTCAGTTCTTCCATATCCTTTTGCATCAAGCCTCATCATTCTTCTGTGCCATGTATGGGGGATGAGCTACTATGACCATCCTGATGTTGGGCTACAACTAAAAAAATATCTACCTAGCATAGAAAGTAATGAGGAATCATTGGAATTGCAGACCAATATCTAGATGAGCACAAGTTGCCCAATGTAACTTGCAGGAATATAAAAAAAGATTGTGAATCAGACTAAAGGCCTGTTTATCCCTGCATCGTGTTCCTCACAGCATCAATCCAGCTGTCTAGGGGTTACCCACAAGCAAGACAAGGGAGAACAAAAGTCCCCATCCCCCCTGTTCCTTGAGCTTTTCCTCCTATGACACAACCAACCTTCATATCAGTTCATTCAAGGAAACTTAATCCTGCACCATTCCAAATGTTGACAGCAGGGTGAAATATACAAATTATAGTAACATGCCTAAATTTATCTATACAGTATTTTTATTTTACCTCAGTAACATGAACTATACTGGGGGAAAACACTGCACACATCCATTTGGTAGCTATCCCAATGTACATCTGTCTACTGACTTTGATTTCAGACTTTGGGAACTTCCTTTGAGTTTCATTTCTTTGATAACTGTTCTCCATTTGTGTTTTCACAGGTTGCTTATGGAACGACAGAGAATAGTCCTGTTACCTTTATGGGGTTTCCTCAAGACGACATTATCAAAAAAACAGAGACTGTTGGATGTGCTATTCCTCACACAGAGGTGACTTGTCACATGTGTAGCTAGCATGTTTTTGCATCTACCCCCTCTCCTCCCCATCTCACACATACATTGACATAATCCAGGTCAGCCCCCTCCTTAAAGTATCCTTATCATTTTTGCTATAGGCAAAAATTGAGGATCCAGAAACTGAGGAAATCATCCCAATCAACAAACCAGGAGAACTTCAGATTCGGGGCTACTGTGTTATGCTGGGATACTGGGGAGACCCTGAAAGAACCAATGAAGTGTTGGATGATGAGAAATGGTACAAGACTGGGTAAGTGGGGAAATAAGCCATAAGCACATTGGGTTAGTTTTTAGGAATATTCTAGTGACTGTTCATGAACAATTGAAGTAAAATTCAATTCATTCATTCATTCAGTGGGTATTTTTTTAGCAAATTGGAATCTCTTCAGAGTTATCTGAAAACAAATTCAAAGAAAATGATTTATAAATTAAAATGTGTATAGAGAGATTGAGTTGAGTTACTTCATTAATAGGGAATGATAGGGCTATACCTTGAGATGCTTGGTGTCACCACAGTGACACACCTCTTGATTACATTCTGTTTGGCTTATTGTTATTGCAGTCTTGTATGGGGCTGCCTTTGACTCGTGTTTGAAATTTTACATGGTACAAAGTGCTGTTACCAGAGTGTTAACTGGTGATGGGTGCAAGGATCCCCTTCTGGTTGCTGGTGTGCTTCTGCATGATTCAGTTATACTCATACCCACCACCAGAATAGCAATATAGACAAATTGATTTCCAGTTTGGGTTCAGCCTTTGGTCACTATGGTGAGTGATCCATTCCAGAACTAGAAAGGTTATGTGTCTTTGTTGGTTCTGCCATCCCTTTCAGAAGCACTGGATACCTCTGGGTCATTCAGGTTGTGGATATCATTTTATAAGGATTTTTAATGCTATCATAATCTGGGGCGTTCAGGGCTCTATCTCCTGTAGTCTTTAATATCTCTCAGAAGCCTTGGGGGGGGGGGGGACGCTAGCATTTTGGCCCCATTAGTTTGACGATAATTTTCTCTTATTACTATGGAGACTATAAAAATTGTTAACCATTTCCTGAATATAGTGATGGCTTGGATGTCAGCTAAAATTAAGTTTTCAGTCCTGTCAATATAAGTATAGTATCATCTAGCAGAGCGTGACAGAGATTCATTAGATTCAGGATGGATCCACACTGCCATTTAATGCAGTTTCAGAATGCAGATTAACTGCCTTGAACTGCATTACATGACTGTAGCTTCATATGATCCAGTTCCATGTAGTTAATCTGCATTTTGAAACTGAATTATATGGCAGTGTGGATCTAACCAAAGTCTTTTCTGTAACAAGACCTGAAAGACAAGACTTGCTACATTCCTAATCACAGTTAGCTAGGCAATGAAAGCATTTTAGTTTACTTAACTTTTAATGGATGTAATGTATAACTGAAGATCTTATTTCTTATAGATCCATTTTAAGACTTAGGTTTAATTTGTGTTATTTTTGCAGATTTGGTTTTTTTTCTTGTTTCTTTCTTGTTACATAATTTCTTTTTGGCATGCTCATTAGGGCTGCTTGATGCATGTGAAAGGAGTGTTTGTCCTCTAGCATGTCCCATGTGATGCGTTACCATGTCATGTCTTACAACATTGCAGAGTCTAGTATTTTTTCATGGCAAATTTACAGGGTTCTGCTCAGACTTTCTCACATTTGCAAGTACAGGGAACTAGCTGTGATATGATAACTTGAAAATATTCAACATCTAAGTGGGAAATCTGATGGCATCGAAGTGGGATGGCTGTGATATCATTGCAGGGACATTGCTGTTCTTGATGACCACGGCTACTGCAAGATTGTAGGTCGCTGCAAGGACATGATTATCCGAGGAGGCGAGAACATATACCCTGTAGAGCTTGAAAAGTTTCTGCATACCCACCCTAAGATTCAGGAGGTACAGGTAAGAAGAATGGTGAAGTGGGATTTTGGGAGCCATCAAGTTCGGCTTCTTGGATGGACACTTAGCATGATATGATTTAAGATATCTTATCAATGGAGCCCCTGGTGGTGCAGTGGGTTAAAGCACTGAGCTGCTGAACTTGTTGACTGAGAGGTTGCAGGTTCAAATCCGGGGAGTGACGTAAGCACCCGCTGTTAGCCCCAGCTTCTGCCTACCTAGCAGTTTGAAAACATGCAAATGTGAGTAGATCAATAGGTACCACTCTGGCGGGAAGGTAATGGCGCTCCTTGCAGTCATGCCGGCCACATGACCTCGGAGTTGTCTATGGACAAAGCCGGCTCTTTGGTTTAGAAATGGAGATAAGCACCACACCCCAGAGTCGGACATGACTGGACTTAATGTCAGGGGAAAACCTTTACCTATCTTATCAATGGTAGACATCTTGTGCCCAGAGAAACAAGAAAAGCCATTGAGTTGTAGGGTGGGGAAAGGCCTACTTCGCAGCCCTGCCAAAGATCCATTCTGTCCTTTCTCACACAGGTAGTTGGTGTGAAAGATGAGCGAATGGGAGAGGAAATTTGTGCTTCCATTCGAGTGAAAGCTGGAGAGGAGTGCACGGCCGAAGAAGTCAAGGCATTTTGCAAAGGGAAGGTAAGAGCATCCAATGAACAGTTGCACCCTGCTGTTTCCAAAAAAGGAGAAATGAGATCTCAAAAATTGGCCATGACTGAGATTCTTTGGAATCAGTTTCTGTACGACATTTGTCCTTTCCAACTTGAGATCAGGTTTCACTATGTATTCTAGATGTGAGGGCTACTTGCCTTGAACTAAGAGTAAGCCATGTAGGACAGTGCCCCAGTCCTAACTATAGGCATTTCTGTTACAGATTGCACATTTCAAGATCCCTAAGTACATTGTGTTTGTGAAGGCTTTCCCACTCACTGTCTCGGGCAAGGTGAGTGACAGCACAAAGGCTTGTATTGACTTGTTTATCATTAGAGAGAGAGAGAGAGAGAAAGGTGATTTTGACAACAGAATACTGGTTCAATGTCAGGATCAAATTGAGAGCAACTTTCCAGAAGAAACGAGGGCAGGCAGGCCTTGCACCTGAAGTAGTTTCAGTCTAAAATTTGAAACAGGGATAAAAACAGAGAAAAGACAGTATGTAAATGTAAATGGAGAAATAATACATCCTTTTTAGTTCCACGTGCTTGCAACAAGAATTACAGTAGTGCACAGTAATTAGAGATTGGTCAAAATGTTTACTGGCAAAAGGTGGTATTTGAGGAGAGATGGGAAGGAATGAAAGAAGGGAGATGGCATCACATGGGCAGTATAAAAGACATGTTCAGGCCCATACAGTAGTATGGGAGAAAGGATAGTGTCCATCAAAGGTCCTAAAGACCTTTCAGTAGCAAAGAGTAGTTAAGTTGAAAGAACAGATATCAAAGACAACGTTGGGATTTCAGTACAGAAGGGCAGTAAGGTCATGGAGAGTTTTGCATCTAAGGACCTTTTATTGGTGCCAAGGGTGGAAAGGAGAAGTGTCATCTGAACAGACAGACATAATATTTATTTACGATTCATTTAGGATATTTCTATCCCACCTTTCTCAAGCTCGAAGGCAACACAAGGTGGAAAGCACAATCAAAGTACCCTCAACAGATGGCCACCCAGTCTCTGTAATAATAATAGGAGCAGCTTCAGGGGTCATCCAGTTCAACGCCCTTCTGCCATACGGAAAAGGCACAATCAAAGCACCCCCTGAGTAGTGGGAGGGAAATAGGGTTTGGGAAGCAAGGAAGACATGGGGGAAAGGATCTGGGCAGTGAGGAAGGTGAGGAAACAAGGCTTTTGACAGTAAGGGGGCTGAGGGGAAAAGGCTTTTGAGGGTGAGGAAGGTGGGAGGAGGGGGAGCAGCAGGAAAGAGGAGGAAAAGCTTGGAAGGTAAGAGGGAGGGGAGTGAGGGAATATGCTTCATGGAGTCCCAAATGCTCCACGGAGCACACTTTGAGAACCACTTCTTTAGATTAAAGGTGCAAATGACTGAAAGTGGTGGCAATCCCAGCAGATGAAGCCAGGCTCAGGTTCTTGCTTGGTGGTGCTGCCATCACCACCAGCTACTTGCACTCTGTTTCTCCACTCAGTGGAACTTATCCATTTGCAGGCACTTAGCAGCTGCTGAAAGCAGGAGTAAAGCACCTGCTCAGGTCAAAGCACCAAATATAATTTTAAATCCTGGAAAATGCAATGACCAAGATAACACAGGGCATTTTTTTGAGGGACGTAAATAGTGACAACCTGATATAAATGGCTGGGTTCCTAGGCAAACCATCTGCTACTGTCAGCATCACTCAGATCTGGCACGTTTCACTGGTGTGTTTCCAGCATGGCCAGCACACAGATAGAGTGCAAGAAGGTGTGGAATCCTTATTTGTGAATGTGACCATTTTTTTGTCTGCCTCAAGTAGATGCTTGCCTTGGGCTGAGGCTGAATATTTAACTAATAAAGGAGAGGCAGTCTTGCAAAGAGAAGATACATTTTCTTTAACACATTCATAACAATGTACAGGCATGCAAATGCTTAACATTAACCTCTATTTTTTCTCTTTTATATTCTAATCTTAGATTCAGAAATACAAACTGAGAGAACAAATGGAGGTACACCTTAAACTTTGAACTGAACAGGAGGGCAGCACAAGAGGATGTGGAATGAATGTTTTCTTCTTTTATACTTGAACTGTAAGCTGTCAGGAAGCTGCTGCTACCACCAGCCTGCCTTAAGATGTATCCATCAAATCAAGTGCACTTCATATAATATCTGTTGGTTTGGAGGGGAGATCGGTTCAAATAAACTAGTGACAAGCTCTGCTTGCTGTCTCACACATTTTTTAATAAGGAAGTGACACATCTCTGTGAGTATCCAGGTGGCTTCTTCTCAGTAAGGTTGACCATGAACATTTTTCATTGCAATAATATTCCAATTCCTTTCCTTGTAATTCTGAGCAACTATGATATTACATGCAGTGGTTTTGAAGTGTACCTTAAAATAATCTTTTTTTAAAATTCGGGAGTTCATGGAATGTGCGAAAAGCACGTTTGGGACCATTGCAAGGTGGATCAGTAAAGCCTCATCATGGTATGCCACTGGCACTGGTGGTACTTGCTTTTCATTGGCTAATCTCTTAATAATTGAAATAGGGCAACAAATCCACATAATCTTATTTTTTGGGAATATCAATGATTCTACAACCAGATGTGATGTAGGAGATCCATGACCAGTGTTTGCCATATTTGACTATTTGTAACTTGAACAAGGGAAAAGAGGATAATTATTATGATTTAGAGCATAACTATGCTGTTAGGATAGAAAGGTTTTCTTGAGTATCTTCAAGGAGGCAGTTTGAGGTAGGAAGAACAGAGCAGTGCTCCAGTGCCATGAACCCCAGAGCAGCATTGTTAAGAATAATAGGGGACAATTGAAATCATATATATTCCATGGTCCAGCTAATGTAGCTGGCGGGTTACTACTTACTTACTGACTGGCTGACTGACTGACTTAGGCGAGCCCTCTTTGTCCGAGTATGATCCTTCCAAGTGTAAGGTCTTGGCGGTGGGTCCGTAGGTGACTGTGGAGCCCTATTCTTGGTCTGCATGTTCTTCCACGTTGAGAACATCAGTTTCCAGATGGAAGGTGGTCCCAGTCAGGGTTGGTTTGACATGCCTTCCTTTTGGCATGCTTCTCCCTTTCGCCCTCCATTCGTACCTCTTCTAATTCCTCAGCACTACTGGTCACACCTGACCTCCAGTTTGAGCACTCAAGGGCCACAGTTTCCCAGTTCTCGGTGTCTATGCCACAGTTTTTAAGGTTGGCTTTAAGTTCGTCTTTACATCGCTTTTCCTGTTCACCAACATTACATTTCCCATTCTTGAGTTGGGAGTATAATAACTGCTTTGGCAGACGGTGATCAGGTATTCGGACTACATGGCCAGTCCAGCCAAGTTGATGGCATAGGATGGCATAGGTCTTTGCTTCTTCCAGCACGCTGACATTTACCCGCCTGTTTTCCCAAGAGATTTGTAGGAGTTTTTGGAGGCAACAGTGATGGAATTATTCCAGGAGTTGAGTGTGATGTCTGTATATAGTCCACATTTTACAAGTGTATAACAGGGTTGGGAGGACAATGGCTTTATAAACAAGCACCTTGGTCTCTCTATGGATGTCCTGATCCTCAAACACTCGCTGCTTCATTCAGAAAAATGCTGCGCTCGCAGAGCCCAGGCAGTGTTGTATTTCAGTGTCAATGTTGACTTCTGTGGAGAGGTGGCTGCCAAGGTAGCGGAAATGGTCAACATTTTCTAATGTTACACCATTAAACTGTATTTCTGGCATTGCAGAGCGATTGGCTGGTGCCTGCTGGAAGAGCACTTTGGTTTTTTCGATATTCAATGAGAGGCCGAGCTTCTTGTATATTTCTGCAAAGGTGTTTAGAGAGGTTATTATTTAACACCAAATACAGAAGTGTTGTGACCAAGAGGGGAGGGAAGAATATCTTTCACCAGCTGTAGAGGAACAAAATGCATCTCAAGATAATTTAAACACAAGGAGATTCCAGGATCTATTTTGTTGGAATGCTTCCAAAAGTCAAGGAACCAACTCCATGACAGTTATTAGAGAAAATATTTTTATTCCCGGTGATGCATTAGATTGTGAGACAGAAGTTTCTAACCGATTTGGTTTTCAATCATTTTATTTCTGAATTTGAAATAGTTACAAATATTTTAAATAGTTATGCATATTGTAGAAATATCAAACTTTCAATCCTATCAAAGTACTTTTTACAGGAGCATTTGGCATCTCCCAACCATGACACACTGATTGCAGAGGTTGATTGGGGGAAAAATCTCCCCCAGCTTCAGTGCCACACCCCAGCTAGTTTTTTTTCCCACAAGGTTGTTCCATGTCTTCTATTTGCAACCCACTTAAAATGTCTTCTTCTGTTACTAATTGGCTTATCACTATACTAGGCATATTACATAATGCATAATGCTCAGGTTCTATTTTTTCTGTTGTGCAATACAGAATCAATTTCTAAATAAATGTTCATTAACTGAAGGAAAGTCTTTGCAGTGAGGATCCATTTTTCTCCAATGAATTTCTTTTTGAATATCAATAGAACAAAAATCCCAAAGAAGTTCACACTCCATAATGAGCAGTGTCTCCTTTTCTCAGAGAAATTTTACAAGCAAAGGTAAATATGGTAATGCATTCTTTTGTTACTGAATTTCTTTTGGGAAGTGCTACAGGAGAAGATGCTCATTTCTCCATGGAACAGCAAAACGAAGAGAGTGGACATGTGCTTTTTATTGTTTTCCAGTTGTTCACCATTGATCATACAGCTGGGGAGCGGTCTCTACCCATGGAAGCAGAAATTCTAGGCATTAGGTCTTACTGCCTGCTCGTAGCTGAAAGAAAACAGATTTTTTTTGTGTCAAACTATTTTATTGGTGGGTCTTTGAATGATTACACTGCCTCAAATATTATTCCGTGGTATATTTGACCCGCTGATTCAAAAATGGCACCAATTTTCCCATATTAGCTTTGGTTTTTGAGATACGGATGTCATCTACCAGTTGCCACCTGCTTGCCCATAGAAAACCATGATAACCATATCTAAAAAACTAGAGCTGATGAGGTCTATCCAATGCAATTTTCTGAATAAGGGTCCCAGATAACTCCCAGATAACCCCAGGATAAGCATAAATTAAGTTAGCTCATGGCCACTGGTTAAGTAACGTTTGCAGTTTCTCATCAGTGCTCATGAAAACATGTTCTGATAACTCAAGCAACTATGTCTTCCTTCAAAGCAGCCATGGAGCTCATTGGTGACTAGAGAAATTATTCATATGGAAAATGAGTTACATGAATGTGTTTTATCATCTTAATCATCTCCTATAGAAGGAGGGAAAACTAATATGACTGGATTGATCTAGTGGAAGATATCCATAACTAAGTTAATCTCTTCTTGTAAGACAGTAAGAGCAGAACCGTATCTACAGTTTTACTTACCTTTGCTTGGGGAAAATAGTCTCTTTAGGAATTTGCTAGGTTCTCCAGAAAATGCTATGTTATGCATTCCCCGAGATGTTATCATAGAATTGTGTTGGATGATCCAGCAGATTCCTAGAAAGGGTACCTTTCTAGTCTTTAAGACCTCCTAGACAAGTCTACAGTACACTGGGGCTAGAAGTCAGTTAATTCAATAGTGTTCAGTCTTATCTGCAGTTTCAGGTAACTGCTGGGATAGGAATCTATCCCCTGTAATTATAATAGCAAAAAGATCTTTTTTTTGTCTACACACAGGTGTCTGCATGAGTGATCACATTTTAGTGTATTTACACAAAAACTCAAGGTGCCTGAGAACACTATCACTGCCAATCAAAAATCTGCAATCAAAAAATGTTAGCCTTTGAACATCATAAAACAGAAGATATTGTGTAAGTTCACCTTAGATTTGGAGGAGAAAAGCTATGTATATAGCAAGAAATGCTTTAATTTACATATTTGGATTCAGGCCATTCATAACTGTTATATAGCAATTCTGTATCACAAAGTTCATTTCATACTCACTTGTAGAAACAATGGTGCTGGATTCAATACTGGGAATGCTGGTAGTTTCTTTGATAGGAAGAAGTATTAGAAATACGCGCATATACCTACAAGAAAACCCAGCCATTTGACATAATTAGAACAAACTAAATGGTGTGTAATAAATCTTATTTCTCTGTGCTATACATTACAGTCTACCCACATTGGAACAGCCATGAAACAGTTCTGCAAATGCTTTGCTGTGGTCACGCTGTGCCCTGTGCTCAATGCATAAGATTTTCAACTGTTGGCATTTTGCAAGTGTCAGTTTGTTCCTTGGTGCCGTTGTGAAGAAATGTCATGAAATTCCATTACCTTTGAGGTAAATATTAACTTGGTATGTTTTAGCAGCTGAGGTACAAGACATCCAGTGCTCTTGAATGTGTGAAAGAGCCACTGAAGAGCCAACACTGCAGACTCAACATCTGAATTGTATTACTCCAATACATAGAGCCAGTCCACACAGCAGCTTCTTGTTACCCAGGGATGAAAGTGACATAAAACATGAAAAGGTTTCATGCAATACTTTTAGTCTCTGTTTCTGTGATAACCATTTGCTTCTCTGGTAACATACCATTCTTCAATTAGACCGTTGTACAATACAGAATATATAATGAAAACAACCCTCAACCCATCTCATATTGAGCAAAGCTTGGACACTTTTGCCCATATTAAACTCCCTCTCCTCCAGCCTTATCAGCAGGCAAATTCTAACTATCTCTGTCAACAGTTTAATACTCCTCACAAAGCCTCCATTAACAATTTTAAGCCCCGATTAGTCTGAAATATACTTGTAAAGTCCAACAGATTACATGTGTTAGCCTTTTAAGGTGTCACAAGACTACTATTTTCCTCCAGTGATAAGCATGATAAAAGGTAAAGGTTTCCCCTTGACATTAAGTCTAGTCGTGTCAGACTCTGGGAGTTGGTGTTCATCTCCATTTGTAAGCCGAAGAGCCAGCGTTGTCCAGACACCTCCAAGTTCATGTGCCAGCATGACTGCATGGAGTATCGTTACATTCTCGCCAAGGAAGTATCTATTGATCTACTCACATTTCGAACTGCTAGGCTGGCAGAAACTGGTGCTAACAGCGGGATCTCACCTCACTCCCTGGATTCGAACCGCCAACCTTTCAGTCAGCATGTTCAGCAGCTCAGTGGTTTAATCTGCTGCGCCACCTGGGGCTCCATAATAAGCATGGCTGCATCTGCAAAAACTATTTTTATACAGCTTCCCTTATCCTAACACACTTGTGTGCATGCAGAGAAGGCAATATGTGCACACATTACAGCTTCTTATTATCTATTAGTTCCCCTCATTGTCACAGATCTTTTAACCCAACCCAAGTGAAACCATACCTGAAAGGAAACTGTAAAGCTCACTTGGATCACAGTGGCAGTGCAGTGTGGTAGCTCTTGTTTCCTCTCCAGCTGTATCTTTTGCTCCTTTTATATAAAGTTGATATTGAAAAGGGGAAATGCCCACTGCCAGGCCGTAACACCCACCGCATATGTCAAGGATTAATCGTCATTCTATATCTGAGTAAACTCAAGTCACTTAGGAATGCCCCTTCAAAGAAGGGAAGAAGCACTAATCAGGTCTATTTCCTTCCCATATTGTGTTTTGGGAATGACCTTTTTTTCCAGGATGTGGTAGAAACTGCAGTCGTCACTGAGATTTGTGGTGGCACAGCTTAGATAAAATAATTCACTGAAATAAAATGGGGAACTAAACATTAGAAGTTACACTGTGCTTCCTCTTTTTGTAATCTTTTATCACGAAAATACATCTATGCTACTGTAGTTTGGCTCAAAATCAAAACTGAAGCATTCTTCCATTTATGAGATGTACTGATACCTGCACATTATCTGAGAGCAGGAAATGCCCAGGCAGCATTAAAAACTGAAGGTTCATGGATGTTCTGTGGGTAGACATAATTCCCCTGCCATTTAGTCTTTGCAAGGGAGAACCACATAATCTGGAACAAGTGTTCCCCACAGATACAACATGCAAACAGCTATGTGTCTGTAGAAGTAAAACCAGTATGAGTAATAAAACTGTTTTACATAATGAGGCAGGCTTAAAATACAGCACAGAGGTGAAGTGATAGCTAAAGGCAAAGGTTTTCCTCTGACATTAAGTCTAGTGTTTAACTCTGTGGGTTGGTGCTCATCTCCATTTCTAAGCCGAAGAGCTGGCATTGTCCGTAGACACCTCCAAGGTCATGTGGCTGGCATGACTCCATGGTGCGCTGTTACCTTCCTGCTGGAGTGGTACCTATTGATCTACTCACATTTGCATGTTTTCAAACTGCTAGGTTGGCAGAAGCTGGGACTAACAGCGGGAACTCACTCTGCTCCCTGGATTTGAACCACTGACCTTTTGGTCAGCAAGTTCAGCAGCTCAGCAGTTTAACCCATTGTGCCACTGGGGGTTCTGGATGAAGCGATAGTTTGTGGTTAACTTGTAAGCAAGTTAGGTATGGCATTACAGATTTTCAAACTTAAGAACACATCTCAGGCAGAAGAATAGATAGAGGTTAAGGACAATAACGGCAGTCTCCAACCCAGAGTGGACCAGAGACTTCACTGGTCTGCTTCACATCTGCTTACTGGTGCAACTGCTTGATCCTGCAATCTTGCCAGAATATTTCATCATTTCATAAACACGGAAGTTGTCCTGTTGGTGAACTAAAAATTATGACTCACTTATAAGGCTCTGTACTTTCCCTTGGTTTAGCCATTTTCTTCTTATGCAACATAAAATGAATCAGACTATAAACAGGGAATGTGCTGACTAGTTAAAACTTTTCATTCAAAGAGGAAGAAGAGAAAGAGAAATAATTTTCAAGTGGAACTATGTCCCCAATGCTTGGATATGCTCATCAAGTTAGAAGCACTAATCCCTGCAACAAAAATCATTCTAAAAATTCCCCTAATCACAAGTTTCTTCTGGGAATAATGCAAACAAGGAGGTTAATGAGCTCTTTCTCTCTCTGGCATTAACCAAGAAAAGAGTTTAAACCTTCTTCATAAACAAAGCATAACTGAGTAGTCTGTTACCCATTACCAAAAAGGCATCCCACTCTGGCAAAGTTATTTTCTAAGGATCGATCTATTCACATCTAATAATCAATCTTAGGCTAAATTAAATATTTTCAAAATAATAAAGGGGTCTATTTTCATCATCAGGTCTTGCAAAATTTAAGAGGGATGTCTGCCCCAAATCCTTTTACTTCTGATATAACTCAAAATTGTATCACTGAAATAGAGCAATTTAAATCAACTGCTGATAGTGAGATCTGGGGCCATGGATAGTGAAAGCTGAGGCATGGATACTGAGGTTGGTTAAGTGGGTATCGGGTACTGGCAGTGGGCCACCTGTGGATCTGTGCACCTGGCAAAACTAAGAAACCCAATGTTCCCCAATCAAGAAATTTCACCAAGTTGAAGAGAAAGCCACCGAGGCAGTTTATTAAATTCAGCCAAAACCGATAACAGCTTGCGGTAACTCGCTAAAAGAAACTGAGATGTCTCATACAAGCAAAGCACACATTTTTATACATTCAAATCCTTTGTTTTCCCCGCTCATGCCCCATCTGGAGCCGGCTTCGTGCTGATTGACGGCCGGCGTTGACATCACAGCCAGCTGGGAGGACTCCCTTCACGAGGCAGAACTGCAGTGCCTGCCAGCCAATCAGACAGCATTCCCCACTTTGAGCGCAGATTCCTGCTCTTCAATGGCTGACGGGGCAGGATGGTCATCCAGACAAAAGAATGTAAAGTGTTTTGAGTGGATTACCATTGTCCCAATCTAGGGACAGAACAAAGAGGGTCATCTGGTCCCATGCGTTCTACTGAATGTTCTTTTGTGTTAATGAGTGATCCATTAAGGTGGGCCGGGCACCCATGGTGCCCATGTCCATTGTAGTTCATACGAAGCATTGTCCAAAGTGGTAGGATTGGCAAGTCCACTCATGGGAAAAGGGAAATGGCATTGTGGAAAGTGGGGCAAGTCATCCCGGTGTCAGGGAAGAAAATGCCAGGTGATAAATGTCCTTTATAATATCCAAGTAGCTGCACAAAGGACAGGCGGTCCGGCATCAGGATCCTGTTGTCCTCTGAACAGCTGGGTTTATGGGGCCAATAGAGCTACATTGGCCCTGGAGATGATGGATGTTTGTATCCATTGTTGTGATGATCAGGAAGGGTTAGAGGGGACTTTGAGATCAAGGAGTTCAGGTGAAAAGATTACCGGATCTGAATTGGTGGCTTGATCTTCCAAAGTTTTTATATGAACTGGGAATATATTCTTGAAGCTGAATCAGTCATCGGCTACAACTTTCTACACTCCCTTTGATGTTGTCATATTCCTTCAAACCAACTCTGATTTATGCCACAACATTTTCCTTCAGATGTTTGCTTTTGCCATACTCTAAGGCTGAGAGAATGTGACTTGTCCAACAGCCAGTGGGTTTCCATGCCTTCATCTTCCTAGTTTTAGTCTCATACGTGAACCTACTCTATCAAGCTGGATCCCCTTGTGTTTTCCTGCAAAATTATGGCAGACATATACTCCTGAGGATGGCTGACAAACACAATGAGAGCTTTGAAAAAATTCAGAGCAGTGAATCTGAGAAACCTCTAATTAATGCCCCAAGTGTACCCCATGTATCAATTATAAATTATGTATTGGAAAAATAAAGCAAATCATTAAATGAATGCTCCATCACTGAGGGCTAATGGTTGACTGGTCATAGATCTATGAGAAGTCAGTAGCTATTTGGCAACAGATCCACAAGAGGTGGCTGTGAAACCACACTGAAGATTCAACATTGTAATCAATCAAGTTGAAAGAACTAGCACACACTTGCTTCCAGACCCTCATGTGATCTTTTAATATTCCAAGTAATCATTAATTTAGCTGTATTTTCACATAAGACATTTCATTTTCTCATAACTTAATTAAAATCAACAAGGTACTTTGAAAGCATGTGATTTAATTTGTTACTTTGCTAACAAAATCAAGTGCAACAGTGGGGGGCAATGCAACCTTCTTGCCTGTATCACAGTAGATCATTATGGGGAGAGATTCCATGGAGACATTGCCGCATCCCTTTCAATGAACTGGATCCTTCATCGAACACTCGATATGGGGTATTGTAATTATCAGTCCTATGACTGTTGTGAGTCATACGTGTTGCCATAAACACTGCTTGCATGGCCTTCATTATCATTTCATTCTCTGCATTTTTTGGTCTGTGTCCCTCAATCCCTTCCTACTTTCATTGCATCAAGGAAAGCACATTATGTTCTACACAGCATGCAGTTTTCATTCATTTAAATATGGATTTAAGCTATTATAAATGGCTCTGGTTCAGACTGGGAGCACCACAGGTGAACAGACAACAGGCTTAAACTTTGTCCTTCCGCCAACTTTGGTTTCCAAAGCTTTGACCCCTCTATGTAGAGTCATAAAAACAGGAATCTCTTTCTTGTTGTCATATGCCTCCAAGTCATTTGAGACTTATGGAAACCCTAAAGCAAACTTATGGTTTTGGGTTTTTTTTGGCAGGGGGCTTGGTTTCCTTCAAGGCTAACAGAATTGTTGACACCAATTTTGTATTTTTTTTCTTGTTTTAGTCTCCATATTTGTCTTGGGGGGATACTAAAATTAAAACTCATCCCAGGAGGTAAGCTTTAAGCTTTCTCCATACACACTATCCATATTGGAGACATATATGCTTACCCAAATATAATGAAGAATGTCACTTCTTCACATTTTGGCTGAGCATGCCATTTAGTGTTAAATCATGCTAAGTCACGTTGGCAGAAATGATTCATTAGGGATTCTTACAATAATTAAGAGTCACTTTTTTGCTTTGTAACAGGATGAAGGCTGAAACCAATATATCTTAATCCGTTTTACAGCTCCACTGTTTACAAATGAATTTTGGTAATTTCAGACAGAAATTATTTATTTATTTACAGTATTTATATACTACCTTTCTCACCCTAGGGGGACTCAGAAAGGATGAGAATTTTTGCAACTCTTGAAGGAATGAGAAACACCCTTCCATTTTTCAAAAGAAGTCTACAATTGTTTTTCACTTCAAAAAGTATTTAACAACTGATGAGGATTTTTCTAAAATTCCTACTGGTTTATTTGATCTTTCTTTCTGGCAACTGTACATTACGGATCAAACGAAGAAGCTCAATTTTCTTTCAATTTAGTTTGCAATCCAATACTGCTAACTGAGGAAGTGGTGAAAACCCTGCTCTGCCAACAGAACTCGAGACATACCACTGGCATATAATAACCTACATTTTTAGCACATTAGTCAGCTGGAATTAAGTTCCATTAAGCTCAATAATGGAAAAGGTGGGTGTTTTTTTTCACTTTGCACTGAAGCAATTTTACATTTTAAATTGATTTGGGAGGTGGGCTGCAGCAATAATAGAATCATAGAATCATTGAGTTGGAAGAGACCTCGTGGGCCATTCAGTCCAACCTCCTGCCAAGAAGAAGGAAAATGGCATAATTAATCATTATTTTTCTTACTGTTATTTGTAGCTTGTGCCTACGATACTATGGAAATATGGAAATAATTTAACGGGTTCTGAAGTATTGGATATCTTGAAAAACTGCGTAAAAGCCATTTTCCCACCTAGGAATTCAAAAAGGCTGACAGCAGTGCCATACGGAGAGTTGAGGGCCTGGTTCTTTTAAAGAGTTAAGATACAAATTCTTACATTGTCAAGTGGATCATTCAACCCAGTTTTTAAAAACTAACGTTCATAGACATATAGATGACTATATAGGGTAAACTAAATGAGAGCATACCTGTGCACAATTTTCATTCTCTGAAGACTCTGCAGTTTTGATCAAGGGCCAAAAAAAGAATGCCAGCATCAACACTTGGAGCCTATTTAGGATATTCATGAAAAGATTCATTCAGAAGAGCGATGGGTCATGAGGTTGCAGGCCATTCAAAGACTATACAGGGTAACACAACTCATGTGAAAAGGATCTAGGAGTCTCATTAAACAACAAGCTGAACATGAGTCAACACTTTGATGTGGCAGCTAAAAAGGCCAATGTGATTCTAGGCTGTATCAAAAGGAGTACAGCATCCAGATTGAAGGAAGACACATTCCCACTCTATTCTGCTTTGGTCAGACTTCATCTGGAATATCATTATTTATTTATTTATTTATTTATTTATTTATATCCCGCTTTTCACCCCCATCAGGGAGGATTCAAAGCGGCAGAATACAAGGTATAAAACATACAAAGTACATTGGGATAAAAGAAGTAGATATAATTTAAAAATAACAATTGAAACATAATAAAGCAGTTACACCATAATAGAACCCATTACAGATTAAAATACATTCAACACTTTAGGTATAGTTAAAACTAAAAAAGCATAAACTGAAGCCATTATCCATCCACTTGCCTCTTGTCCATAAAGGTATTGCACAAAAAAGGTTCCGCCCAAATGTTACTATGGCGCCTATTGCGCTTGTATTATTCTTCATCGAAGGCCTGATTCCTGAGAAAAGTTTTTATCTGGCACCTGAAAGTTAGTAGGGAGGGAGACATTGTGATGTCTTTCAGAAGGAAGTTCCAAGAGCCATGGAGCAATCACCAGAAAGACCCTCTCATTCCCACTGAGAAGGGCCTCTCCTGTTGATCTCAGGGTTCGTGCAGGTTCATAGAGGGAGATGCGGTCTTTTAAGTAGACTGGGCCCAAGACATCTAGGGCTTTATAGGTTAAGACCAGCAGTTTGAATTCAGGTTGGAAGCTGACTGGCTGCCAGTGCAGTTGTTTTACAAGGGGGGGGGGGGGTAGTTATTTCCCTGTAACCAGCCCCTGTAAGAAATCTAGCTGCTCACCTTTGAACCAGTTGGAACTTCCGAATGCTCTTCTGAGGCAGCCCCATGTAGAGTGTGTTGCAGTAGTCTAAACAGGATGTAACCAAGGCATGTACCACCATAGCCAGATCAGGTTTTTCAAGGAATGGGCACAGCCAGCACACAGCCCTTAACTTCAGGGGGAGTGTTACCTGTTTACACAGGCTGTAGCCCTATACCCTGATCTGCCTTACAAGTAACCAGGAGTATCTCTGTCTTGTCAGGATTCAATTTCAATTTGTTTGTCCTCATCCAGTCCATCACAGCTGACAGGCAAGGGTTCAGGGTCAGGACAGCTTCCTTGGTTTTTGGTGGAAAGGAATAATAGAGTTTCCTGTGCTCCTGTAAAAATGTATTGCACTCACTGAATCTCTACCTCAGCTATGTTTCTTTCAGCCGTATTCTTTTTATATTGCTTTCAATTGTGTTGTTATTTGTTTTTTCTTATGTTTTAATTGGTTAAAGTGTTTTACACGTGTGTTTTAATTGTAATATTGGGTGTGTCCCTTGTAAGCCGCCCTGAGTCCCCTAGGGGAGATGGTTGGCGGGGTATAAAAATAAAGTTTTGTTATTATTATTATTATTATTATTATTATTATTATTATTAGAGTTGGGTGTTGCAGGAAAGGAGATTCCACCTGAACATTAGGAAGAACTTCCTGACTGTAAGAGCTGTTCCACAGTGGAACTCTCTACCTCAGTGTCATGGAGGCTCGTTTCTTTGAGTTTTTTAAAACATAGGCTGGATGGCCAGCTGCTGGGGGTGCTTTTTGGAAATGGCAGAATTGTTTGGTCTGGATGTTCCTTGGGGCCTCTTCCGACTTTATGATTCAAAAATTATCTGTTCCAGTGGATTTTGGAGGGTTTTATTTCCCACCTGCCAGAACTGCATAGTAGGCTTGGTTGATCAAGAAAAAAAATGGTTCTAAACTCGTTTCAATTTTTAAATTATTTCTGAACTTTTCTTGAAAAAAAGATCGGAAATAGCAAAAATCTGAATAGCTTTGTTTACTTCGTTAATGGAAAGTGCCCCTCCCCTGTTAGTTTAAAATCTCGCAGTTTCCCTGGCCTCCCTGGCAACAAGCGGCGATGCGGAAGGGCGAGGTGGGCGTGGGTAAGCCCAGCTCTTCCTGAAGGCCACGCCCCCAGTGGCCGTCAAGAAGACCTGGGCGTAGCCACGCCCACCTCATTCCCCTGCCATCCATCGCCGTTCGCAGTCACCCAGGGAAGGGAAACTGCGAGATTTTAAAACCCTTCCCTGGGTGACTGCGAACGGCGATGGATGGCAGAGGGAGGAGGTGGGCGTAGTTAAGAACAGCTATTCCCACCTCCTTCCTCTTTGCATCGGCGGCTTTGCACGCCCGGTGATGCAAATAGGGACGAGGTGGGACGTGGGTAAGAACAGCTGTTCCTGAAGGCCACTGGGGGCATGGCCTTCAGGAAGAGCTGTTCTTAGCCACGCCCACCTCACCCTTCCGCATCGCTGCTTGTCGCCAGGGAGGCCAGGGAAACTGCGAGATTGTAAAGTTTGCACCAGACATCCGAAAATAATTCCGAAAAATTGGTAAATGGTTTCAATTCATAATTACTCCTCACACTATTCCAGCATGGCTCGAAATTGYTTCAAAAGTCAATTTAATCCGAATTTATTCCGATTTTAGAAGCTTCCGAACAAAATCGACCAAGCCTATTGCATAGGCGCCACATACTTCCACCTTTCTCAGCCATCGCTGTTCTCAGGAGTCTTTTGAAATCTCCATGATCAAAACCTCACCAGCTGTGAAATTCAAGCAGTAAGTATAAGTGAACAAATTGGTAGAAGCTTGCCACCTGCTGCCTAGCTGTTGGAACTGTAAACGTTAACATATGACAGATGTTGATCCAATCGTATTTTCTCTGTAGGGCTTAGGCTCACAGCGACCTAATGAAAAATGGATCCACAATTTTTCTTTTACAAAATCATTTTTGTTCCTAGTTTTATCAAGTTCTTCAGGAGCAGAAAGGATAAGATGGATACAAGCAATGGGAGAATTCCTCTTTCTGCTTCCATGCACCCTTGCACATTGGTCAGCTATTTATTTCTACAAAGGAACCTTCATCTTACTGTACTGCAGGCCCAGCATATCTGATCTGGAATCCCAAAATTTTAAATACTAAAAAAACCCGTCTACATGGAGGGCTGAGATAATGAGATTTCTTCTGGTCGCTTCTGTTGTGAAAGAATCAGTCATCTACAAAGATACTGCCCAGGAAACACCCAGATGTGTTGCAATCCTACAGGGAGGCTGAAACACCTCAGCAAGCTAGAGTCCAAAATTGGCAGGCTAAAACTTGAAACCTCAGTTAGTGACTGATACCAGATGAGAAACTCCTCTTGGGCACACAGAAGACTGGGTGACTTGGAAGGCGCTGAACAGACTGCGCTCTGGCACCACAAGATGAAGAGCCAACATTAAGAAATGGGGCCACAAAGTGAAGTCCATGACATGCGAGTGTGGAGAAGAGCAAACCACAGACCATCTATTACAGTCAGTCTGAGCTCTGCCACATGCACAACCTTCTTATAGCAACACCAGAGGTACTCCAAGTGGCCAGCTACTGGTCAAAGGACGTTTAGTATAATGCCAAGTTTTTAAACTGTTTTAAAAATACATTACAACTGTACCCTCAGTTTGCTTCTGATACGATATGATAAATAAAATAACCTTTGCTTCCAACACAATATTATTACAGATATTGTGCGAAAAATGACCATTGGAGTATGTGTAGAAGACATTTTGTGTTGACTTGGGTCCCATCTCATTACACTGTGTAACAAAATTTGAAAAAACAATTCAAAAGTGTTATTTCCTGTTTAATTGTGCGGTACTAGCTTTGAAAGGAGTAAATACTCCAGAAACTTCGTTTTTGTGGCTGCCACAAACTAGGCTGAATAGGTTGAGACTCTAGGAGATAGTCATTGAATGTGCTGCAGGATGTCCCACAAAAACAAAATCTTTCTTCATATTTTTATAACAGAACCAATTAGGAAACATTTATAACCCAGGAGCAAAAATTGTGTTACATAGTGTCATGTATATGCCAATATTCCAAAATCCAAAACATCCCCTTGGTCCCAAGCATTTTGGAAAAGGGATACTCAACCTGTATTTTCTTTGCATACACATTACTTTTCCTTTTCTTGGAAGTGCTGGGGCCTTAGATCCAGTGAAACCACACGCTCACAATGGGCGAATATAACAGAGGTCCTCAAACTAAGGCCCAGGGGCCAGATGCGGCCCTCCAAGGTCATTTACCCGGCCCTCGCTCAGGGTCAACCTCAGTCTGAAATGACATGAAAGCACACAACAACAATCCTATCTCATCAGCCAAAAGCAGGTCTAAACTTCCCATTGAAATACTAAGTTTATATTTGTTAAAATTGTTCTTCATTTTAATTATTGTATTATTTTTAAGTGTTTTTTGCAGTACAAAAAAGATATGTGCATTGTGCATCATCTATGTTTTGTTTTTTTTTCTTCAAATTATAACCGGCCCTCCAACAGTTTGAGGGACTGTGACCTGGCCCTCTGTTTGTAAAGTTTGAGGACCCCTGGCATATAGGCTTAACGCAGCTTGAAACCTCTAACTGCCACGAGTCAGTGCTACGGAAATTACAAGCCCTCCAGCCTTTGTTGGCCCACCAAAGTAGTACTACAACTCCCAAAGTTCCATAGGATTGAGCCATGCCGTTTCCGTGGGGCTTAACTGCACTACTTCGACAACGTCCATGTGCCCAATGCGAGCCGAGGCACAGAATGTTGGGAAAGGAGGTCTGCGCATGCTCGGCGGGCTGCCCCTTTTCTTGGCCTGCCACTCACTCCGGAGGCGCCTGCAGCCTGCTCTCCTCCCCTTTCCGCCGCTTCTTCCGGCCAGCGCGCGCCGAGAACATGGGCCGCCTCCTGGCCAAGGCACTCTCTGCGGCGGGGCTCCTGCGGAAGATTTGGCCGCCGGCCAGAAGCCCCGCCTTCCGCACTGTCACTCAAGCGCCCCGCCAAGACCCAGGGGCACAAGCCTCCCTCTACATCCACGTAAGTGAGCAAGCAAGCGGCAACGTCTGCGCATGCGTCATTTGACACGCGTGTCCTGCGCATGCGCCGTAAGCAAGAGTGTGGCAACTGGGGAACCTTATAAATGTTTCTTGGCACAGAAATTGTTTTCCCACACTTCACTTCAAAATGATTGTGTTAGAAAACGCATTCCAGAGGGATAGGCATAATTTGGAAAGCCAGGGAAGAGGATGACTTTGAGTGCCTCTACACTGCAGATTTAATTGAGTGTGATGCCACTTTTAACTGCCCTGGCTCAGTACAATGAAGTTGTAGGAGCTGTAGTTTGGTGAGATACCAGCACTCTTTGGCAGAGAATGTTAAAGAGCTTGAAAAACTACAATGCAGAGCCTTCACAGCAGTGGCACCATCACTCTGGAATGCTCTGCCACCTGAAGTCCATGCCTTGCGGGACTTAGCAGCTTTCCGCAGGGCATGTAAGACATACCTGTTTCGACAGGCTTTTAATGTTTGATAGTGTTGTTTTTAAATTGTTTTAAAATTGCTTTTAAATTTTGTTAGATTTTAGCTATTCTTGTAAGCCAGCTGCGCCCGTATCTTGGGAAGTCAGACTTGGCCACGGTAGTCCACGCTCTTGTCACATCCCGCATAGATTACTGCAACGCGCTCTACGTGGGGTTGCCCTTGAAGACTGCCCGGAAGCTTCAGATGGTCCAGCGCTCGGCAGCCAGGTTGCTAACGGGAGCGGCACTCAGGGAGCACACCACCCCCTTGCTGAGCCAGCTCCACTGGCTGCCAATTTGCTACCGGGCACAATTCAAGGTGCTGGCTTTAGCCTATAAAGCCCTACACGGTTCCGGCCCCACTTACCTCTCCGAACGCATCTCCACCTATGAACCGGCGAGGACAGATCGTCCGGGGAGGCCCTGCTCTCGGTCCCGCCAGCGTCACAAGCGCGGTTGGCGGGGACGAGAGACAGGGCCTTCTCGGTGGTGGCCCCTCGGCTATGGAATGCCCTACCAGTGGACATCAGGCAGGCCCCTTCGTTGCTGGTGTTTCGGAGGAGGGTGAAGACGTGGCTCTATGAACAGGCGTTTGGATAACTATGCAATGACAACTAACTCAGTAAGACGGCATTTTGAACAAGGAACGGAAAAGGACTATGAGAACGGGATCTGATTCTAATTGAGGCGTTGATGACTATGTGTGTTGTTTGTGTATGTGCGTCTTATTTACTGTCAGTGTTGCCCATTTTTATTGTAAACCGCATTGAGTCGCCGTCTCAGGCTGATAAATGCGGTATACAAATGGAGTAAATAAATAAATAAATAAATAAGCCGCTCCGAGCCCCAGGGGAGTGGCGGCATATAAGTTCAAATAATAAATAAATAAATAAAAACTTACACGATTTTATAGCTTCGAATCACAGGAATTAAAGTTGCGGACTCAGATAAGCCAGTTCAAAGCAGATATTGTGGGATTTCCTGCCTAGATATTCTGAGATATAGGGCTGCGTGGAAGGGCCCTGAAAACAGCTGGGGTTCTCAGAATCACCACAAAAGCATCCAGTAACGTTGTGCTTATATATGCACTCATACAAAAGTTTTCAAAGAACAAATTTTAAAAATTGTTCTTAATGTAAAGAGGCAAAATAGTGGAACTTTCACTCATGGTGCTATTTCTAGCCTTTTATCTTGTAAAACGTGTCCAAGATAGAGCCTCAAAAAACAAATAATGATATTACTTTGGTTATTTTCCATGCATGGATTTAAAACACAAAGGCTGCTTTCCACACAGCTGAATAAAATCCCACATTTTCTGCTTTGAACTGGAATATATGGAAGTTTGGACTGGAATAACCCAATACAAAGCAGACATTGTAGGATTTTCTGCATGGATATTCTGAGTTATATGGCTGTGTAGAAGGGTCCATAGTGTGCCTTCACTCCTTATTAAATTGGACATGGTTAAGAATATGCTTTCAGTGATAACACCTGCATGTCAAAGAAATATTACAGACAGGCTCCAGATTATGATGGCTACTTTGATAGAAGTTAATCAGATGTAAAGGATCATTTTGAAGCGGGATGGAATTTTTCTACTCAGGTTGGCATCATTTAGTATATTCAGTATGATGAGTAGTTGTCCCTGTGAATTTCTGAACACCATGAACAGAGCATGGTACATATTAAAATTGCTGGTAACTGAATGGATATGTTTTGACCTTGCTAAAGTGAGATGGAAGTGATGTTAAAACTCATCCCAGGGATGATGATGGAAAAGATGCTAGAAAAGTGTTAAGCCACCTTCCGCACAGCTGAATAAAATCCCACATTATCTGCTTTGAAATGGAATATATGCAGAGGCGTCCCTAGGTAATTTTCAACAGTAAGCAAACAGTATTTTGCCCCCCCCCCCCAACCAATCACTGATATATATATTTTCTGTTCGTCGTGGGAGTTCTGTGTGCCATATTTGGTTCAATTCCATCATTGGTGGAGTTCAGAATGCTCTTTGATTGACTGTAGGTGAACTATAAATCCAAGTAACTACAACTTGCATATGTCAAGGTCTATTTTCCCCCAAGAGCGCCTCAAGAGCGCCCCTCGGCAAAATCAACTATACTGCAAATGCTTACTTTGCGTAATGGGTTGAGCCGCCCCTGAATATATGGCAGTGTGGATTCAGATAACTCAGTTCAAAGTAGATATGGGATTTTCTATCTTGATATTCTGAATTATATGGCTGTGTGGAAGGCCCCTCAGTCTTTATGAATAAGTATTTTCTGATTTCCTTCATTTCTCAGTGGCCATATTGTGAGAAACGTTGCAACTACTGTAACTTCAACAAGTACATCCCACGAAACATTGATGAGACGAGAATGAGGAATTGCCTCATTCAGGAAGCAAGGACTTTGATTCAACTTAGCCAAGTCCAGAGGTAAGTAACAGTGGAAGAGGAGGAAGAAAGCATTAAAAAATCAGCATTTAAAGCTGGGAGCATTAGAAGAAACAGAGGTGCATGGCAAATGGATTTTATTTATTTATTTATTTACTCTATTTATATCCTGCCTTGCTCTATCTCAAAGGGGACTCAAGGCAGCTTTATTGGACATGTTTTATAATTAAGCGAGGAATAACATTTCTGTTGAGAGTTTTATCACTGAGGAATAAGACCAACCTGTTATTGAATTACTTCATTTTTAAGCCAGTGGTTTGAGTCAGGGACTGTAGAAGTCAAAGGAGGAACAGTTACAGATGTTAAATGCCTTAAAGTTGACTTGCAGCAGTGTTGTTCTTCGCAAGATATTTTCAGAAAAGGTTTGAAAAGGGTTTTGATGGCTGAGTGGGAATTCAGTTCCTGGTCTCCTAGAGTCCTGGGGTGCATCTACACTTTAGAATTAATGCAGTTTGTCACCATATTAACTGTCATTACTCAGTGCTATGCAATCCTGGGATTTGTAATTTGGCGCGGCACCATCATTCTAAAGAGTTTGTCGTTTCCATAGCATGGAGCAATGGTCATTAAAGTAGTGTCAAGCTACATTGATTCTGCAGGTTAGCCGCATCCCTTGTCCAGCATTCAAACCACTTCATCACACTGGCTTCCTTTAAGAAGCCTTGTATCAAACTCTCCGTGGAGGAAGCTAGGAAGGCAAATATATTTCTGTATTGGTTTCTTCAGATTTGATTCTTCCTTTCTCTCCTTCACTTTACAGAATCACATCTGTGTACTTTGGTGGGGGAACACCAAACTTGGCCAGTCCACTCACCATTGCAGCTGTCTTGGATGCCATCTCCCAAGAGGTCTTTGTAGCGGAAGGCACTGAGATTACACTGGAAGCCAATCCCACTTCAGTAGATGCCTTATGCCTTGCTGAATTCCAGAAAGCAGGCGTCAATCGGCTTTCTATTGGCATCCAGGTGAGTGATCAGGGGCACACCTGTCATAATCTTGGAGACTGAAGGATCATCAAGTCTTCCCTGCCTTATTTACCAGAACCTTCACTTGGCACCTGTGAATTGATGGCATTTAGTTTTATCTACTATTGTTTTAGAATTGTATTGTTTTGATTTTATGTTAACGTGTGTTGACGAGGGGTTGTTGTTATAATTTTATGTGGTTTGTTTTATATGATTGTACTGTTTTTACTGGCTGTATGTTGTATGTGCACCTAGTCCCTTTGGGAAGATGGTGGCAGGATATAAATAAAGATTATTATTATTATTATTATTATTATTATTATTATTATTATATTCTACCACTCCTTCCCTGGTGAGAATGACAGAAGAAGAAAAGAAGTAATTACAGAAATATTATCTTAGGGTAATTCATGCAGAAAACCAATCTCAGGAGGAAGAGATTTGATGGAGAATAGGACACTGGAAAATATTTATGCAAATACCTTCATTGCTGCTTTGATCAATGTGATGGCCACATTTGAGCTGAGGGAAAAAGTCAGGGATTTCACAGGTAAAGTGTAACTTTCCTCTCAAGCTATTGCCATTCTGCTTCTCTTTGCACTTACTGATTGTTGTTTGCTGTTTACCTATATATAGCAACATGCATACTTTTATATTCTTTAAAATACTTTCCCCATCAATCATGTATTTCCCCAAGCTTCTTGTTTAATTTTCTTGCCACAAAAAGCCCATCATACTCATGTTTTCCTTATCTGCAGTCCCTTAATGATGCAGAACTCCAGCTGCTTGGAAGGAACCATTCAGCTTGTGACGCTCTGAGAACTTTAGAAGAAGCCAAGAAACTCTTTCCGGGCCATATATCTGTTGATCTCATCTTTGGCCTCCCTAACCAAACCACTGCCTCTTGGGTTCAGAATTTGGAGGCGTTGCTTGCAGTGTGTGACGACCACATTTCTCTCTACCAGCTGACATTGGAGAGGGGCACTTCACTCTTCAAACAGGTCAATCAGGGCTTTTTGCCCCTGCCTGATCCAGACGTTGTATCAGAAATGTATGAATGTGCAAGAAACATCCTTCAGAAGGCAGGTTTCCATCAGTATGAGGTTTCCAACTTTGCTCGGAAGGTAAGTCTTTTCCTTTAAAGTATAACATAAATAGAGGGGACGAACCAAAATAATCTGGAAGTTCCTGACAGTGAAATAACTTTGTATGGCTGGAGGAAAGAGGAGAGAATGCTGTTGCACTTCACAACTGAAAGGAAGATTATTGTTCTTTTAACAAGAGCTGAGCATGTTCTATCAAGGTACAATCTGAGATTGACAGTCGGATACAAGGCCTCATTCACATCCAAAGAAAGAATGTTGAGAAAGTTGTTACAACAAAGGCTTAGATTTAAACAAATTTGAATACTAGCTCCCAAGAGGAGCTAAGTATCCCTAGGAATCAGTCACTGAAAGTTATCGTTCTATCTCCAGTGCATTTAAGTACCTACATTAAACCACTAGAAGTGATCATTTGGAGACATGAGGTGGAATGTTACCAGTATACTGATGACACCCACATATATTTCTCCATGCCTACAGCTTTAGCTAAGCATAGCATGTCTCCTCTGAATGAATGCCTGGATATAGAAAAACAAATTGAAATTGAATCCAGACAAGACAACGGTTCTTGCCATCAGAGGTCCTAACCTGGGGATGGAGATGTATCAGCCAGTCCTGGATGAGGTTACACTCCCTCTGAAAGACTGTGTTTGCAGCTTGGGAGTGCGCCTGGATCTGTCTCTCCAAATGTCAGCCCAGGCAGATGGGACTGTCAGGAGTGCTTACTACCAGCTTTGGCTGATACACCAGCTGTGCCCCTTCCTAGATTTGGAAGACTTAAAGATGATAGTGCACACATTGGTTACTCAAGATTGGCGTTCTGCAATGTGCTCTACATTAGTCTACCTCTGTACCAAGTTCAGAAACTTCAGTTAGTTTAAAACATGGCAGACAAACTCATTACAATAACATCTAGGAATGAACATATTACACTATTCTAAAGTGACTGTACTGGCTACCAATTTCTTTCTTGGCAAAGTACAAAGTGTTGGTTTTGATCTTTGAAGCCCTACATGGTTTATGTCTAGGATTGCCTTCTTCTTCACCAGTGGTTCTCAACCTGCGTGTCCCAAGATCTTTTGGCCTTCAATTCCCAGAGATCCAAACAGCTGATAGTGGCTGGGATTTCTAGGAGTTGTAGGCCAAAACACCTTGGGACCCACAGGTTGAGAACCACTGTTCTAAACAATCCACTGAGGTCCTCTGGAAGGCCATTACTGTCATCTGCCCCAAGACTCTGGAATGACCTCTAACAGTTAATGAGCTTTCAAAATTTTAAAAAGTGTCAAAGACCTACTTCTGGCAGGCCTACCCAGTTAGTTTTAAACTATGAATTTAAATTTACAATTTTTGGTATGAATGATTTTAGTATGTTTTATTCTTAAGTTTATGTTTTTAATGGTCTTACGTTTCTATCTACATGTTTTAACTATGTTGTACCCCACCTCAAACCTTGAGTTAGAAATAGAAATTATAATTGTAGTTGTTGTTATTATTACCATTATCATCCAGCCTCATGCAATATATGTGCAAAGACTAGCAGTTTCTTAATACTTTATGCGTTGTTGTTTTTTTTTCCTACAGGGAGCACTTAGTATTCACAACCTGTCTTACTGGCGAGGCGGTCAATATATTGGAGTGGGACCAGGTGAGCTTGCTTGAGTAGGCCCAAGTTCTGTATCCAGTAAAAACAATGGCAAATTGGGTTCAATGAAGTTATTTAAAAAAGAATTGATACATTTTAGTACTTAAAGTACAAGAAACAATAAGATTATTCACATACAATACAGGTAAACTATATGAAGTTCGTTTCAGATGGTACATTTCCAATATTTCATGTTAAACACAGAGAATTAAAGAAGGATGGATTTCCTGGTGTTTGTGGATAGTCAGACAATTGCTTCTCATACTGCTTCATTCTAGAGATGAAGAATTAGTCATACTATTGACTACCTTTTCCCAGGAGCCCATGGAAGATTTGTGCCATGGGGAAATGGAAAGGTCTACCGAGAGGCAAGAATACAAACTCTGGAGCCAGATATATGGATGAAGGAAGTGTTGGCCTTTGGTCATGGGACCCGGAAGCAGACTGCACTCACCCAGCTGGAAATGTAAGTACGTAGGAACTGTGAAGTCTTGGCCTAGTTTTTACTCCCTTCTGTTTGCTCCCTGGAGTTGGACTGTTCAATTCTGCTAAGTTTTAGAGTGGGAGCTTAAGCTCCCCCTATAGGCCCACTCTTTTGGTTCAGCCCATTCTGGCTCATAGCCTGGTGGAAGGACCTTTTGGACATAGTTTTTAGTAGTTAGCCAGAACGTGTCTGGTCTGGCTTAGCAGTCTGAACAGGCCATCCTTAGCACATATGTGCCATAGAATTGACCAATATTTGCCTTAGAGTTTATATCATTATAGTTATATTTGCCTCATAGAATAGCTATATTTGCCATATAGATTTAAAATATATTTGCCTTATAGAACATAGATTATACATGCCAGAGACCTAAGCAGTACATGTCCCAGAGTTTATAGAGTACTTACCTCATAGAATATAGTTTTGTTATTTACCTCAGAGTTGCACCTTATACCTGTTCCTTATTATTCTAACTCTATATCAGAATCAAACTGCACCTTTATACCTTGTTTTGATTCACCCTGATTGTTCAGTAAACTTAATTGGTTAAATTTAGTTTTGTCTCTAGAGTTTTATTTTGGCGGAATTAAAGTACATATAGGGCATACCGATGGTCACTGGGAAAATAGCCGGACACATATAGTTTTCCCTTAATCTTCCCAGTTGTGCCATCATAGGAACAAATATGGGGGTGGTTAGTGATTTCAAAATGAAGGTTGCTTCTACACTGACAGCAGGTATGGGCCTGAAGTGTCAGTGTAGATGAGCCCAAAGTCTCTTGTTTGCTTTCCATCTTGAATGATATTCCTCAAAATTGTGAATCAGTTGAAAAGACTGCTTCAGATTTGGGTTCAGTTATGAACTTCCTTAGACATACCATGTTTTCTTTGCCTCCTACCTGCGGAAATATTAGTACAGAAGGCTTTTGCTAGGAATTGGACAAAATGCATGCAGAATGCACTATCCAAATGCTAAGTATGTTAACATGAAAAGCTGAGATTCCTTTTCAGAAATCTGAGGTACTCCACAATCTGAAATTGTCCACATGAGTGGCTGAGGTACTTGCACCTTTGTTCTCTGGTTGGTTCAATATATGCAAATTTTATTTCCTGCACAAAATTATTTAAAAGATTGTGTATAAAATTACCTTCAAACTATGTTTATAAGATGTACCGTATATGATACATTGATGAATTCTGTGTATAGACTTGGATCCCATGTCTAAGATATCTCATTATGCATATGCAGGTATTCCAAGATCTGGGGGAAAAAATCAAAATTTAAAATATGTTTGGTTCCAAGCATTTTAGATAAGATGCTAAAAGTTATAGATAGTTAGTTTTATGTCCATTTTGGAAGCTAAAATATAATTTTTAATGAAATGTTATATCTTAAGGACAATTTTTACAGTACTGGAGAGTGCTATGTCTTGTGTCTATATGTTTTACATAGATTGGAGGAAGTTCTGATGATGGGACTCCGCACGGATGTAGGAATCACACACCAGGTGAGATTTCAGTATCCTGGGAATGGTAGCAGCAGCAGCAGTGCCTTTTGCAGTGGATTGGATGGATAGTGTTCTAATTCCAGAAACTTTAGATGGAGCAGCAATTTAGAAACAACTTCTTATTCCCTCTTCAGTTTCATGTCATTCAAATGCCTATGGAGACACAGCTGAACAAGAAATGAAGTGTGCGGCTGACTACAACAATTTGAATAAACTACTAGATTTGTGGCCCTAGTACAGAAAGTTTTGAAAGTAGTAGTAGTAGTAGTAGTAGTAATAATAATAATAATAATAATAATAATAATAATAATTGTGTATTTCTCACCTGCCTTTCCCCATGGCTCGAGACAGGTTACAACATAGTTAAAACACATAATCATTGTGAACATTCTATAAAATACACATATTAATACATATATCTATAAAATGCATATTAAAATACACAGAACAAAGATTATAACACAGGACACAAGTTTAAAAATCATGATTAAAAGGGCCTGGGTCAGTTGTAAGGGCTATGGTTATTAAATGGGCAGAAATGGAAGTGCTCCTGGTCAGTCAGAAGGCAGACCAGGGAATAGGGATCCAGCCTGTGCTGGATGGGGTCACACTCTCCCTGAAGACACAGGTCTGCAGTTTGGGGGTCCTCCTGGACTCTGTGCTGAACCTGGAGGCCCAGTATCAGCGATGGCCAGGAGGGCCTTCACACAATTAAAATTTGTGCACCAACTGGGCCTGTTCCTTGAGAAGCCAGATCTGGCCACGATGCTACATGCCTTAGTTATAGCTCATCTGGATTACTGTAACGTGCTCTACTGCCTCTGAAAAGTGCTCGGAAACTTCAGCTGGTCCAAAGAATTGCAGCCAGGTTGCAAAATACTGTTTGTGTTTAATTCTGTTTTAATGTTTATATTTTGATATTTTAAATTAGATACCAATGCTTTTATGTCAAGCTGCTTTGAGACCCCTTTGGGTAATAATAATCATCATCATCATCATCATCATCATCATCATCATCATCATCATCATAAATCTAGAAGAAAACTGAATGAGGCCAGGGAGCAGAATGTAACATATGCAGATCCTTTCCACAAATCATTGTCTGTACCTCCATCAGAAATGCCAGTGATTTATTGATGATGAGATTACAAGTGATGCTTGCCAAAAATAGTTGGCCAGCCCTATGCCACATTCTCATCTCTCACTTGCAAATGCCAGGCAAAGCTTTGTGTCATTGCTTCTATAAGTGCAGTGGTGGGGGAGGGGAGAACAGAGGTTAGTATTATTACGGTAAACATTACACAATTAGGGAAACATCTCTACACCAGGATTCAGATTTTGATATCAGCATTGCCTTGAGCATAATAGTGAATATTATTTTGCTATTCTTAATTTGTTTAGAAAAAAATCTTAGTCATACTTCTTTTTCTGATGGAATAAATTTTGAAATTCAAAGAAGTCAGTCGGCAAATATTTTATAGTTCAGTTATAAAAGTCTGCAAATCCCAGGTATTTTGTATTTGTGGAGGTCTAAACACTCTAGTATTTAGGATAGCTTTGCCACCCAGTGGAACTTGGATTCTGTGTTATCAACTGATCAACTGGATGTTCAGAAAGCTGTGATCAATTCTGTCATTCAGAGGGGTAGGATGTGTATATCTGTGTGTTGAATTATTGCCAATTTGAAGCCTCTCTGAGTCCCCTTCGGGGTTGAGATAGAGCAGGGTAAAAATATAGTAAATAACTAAATAAAGGTATGCCCATCCTGTTTTAAGTGCCAATTACCAAGATGAAAGGATGGGGGCAAAGGGGTTGAAGTTCACTTATTCTTATATAGGTTAGATATCAGACTGTGAAGAAACATGCAATCATGACTGGTGCTTCAGTACAAGATCACCCTCAAAGCCAACTCTTCAAAATTCTGAACTAAACTTGATTTTTCATACTAGGATGTTGTTGTTATTGTTTCCCCTTACAGCACTGGCTACAGTTTGCTCCTGGCCTCAGTTTATGGGATGTGTTTGGGCAATCAGAGGAGGTGCAAGAGCTGGCGGCACATGGCTTAACGATTCTGGATGACAGGTAAAGAACTTGAGTTGTGAACCTTGGGGAAAATAATGCTGTTATTCTATAGAATATGGGTGGATAAAGTGTGGCATTGTGTTAACTTTGTGCCTCCCCCATTCCTTTATTTCTCTCACTTTCCAACATTTTTACTCAAAAAAACACATCAGCAAGTGGGGGCAATTGTGACACATTTTAGACCTACCTCAACATTTGATGCTGAAGTGAGGCTTTTAATTAACACAGTAGTAAACCAGAAGTTGAGTTGCAATTTGCGTCCTTGTTAAATGAAGGCTTCTTCTGGGCCTAAAACAACAGGACTGCCAGGGGGAGGGTAAGGTTGTGTTCCTAATGGGGCCCAATGCAGTTCTCCAAACCCCTGGTGGTTGCTTAACTTTGATCTATGAGAAAAAAACAAATCCAAGCTTTGCATTGATGGGGATTTTTTTTCTTTGCAGAGGACTTAGATGTTCTTGGAAAGGCCTTGCAGTGCTAGATTCTCTCCTGCTGACACTTTTTAACCAGCTCCAAGAGGCCTGGGCTAAAAGAGAAAAAAATATTCAGTGAGACTTGAAGTGTTCACACAGTATTTTGCTGACATAAGCAGAAGTCAAAGGTTCTCTTAAGTTGGAGGCTGGAGAGTATGTAAATATCCCCAGTCTGGAAGGATGTTCTAATGCAGAGGTCTGAATCCAGGAGAAGTGCTGTCCCTGAAAGAAAGCTGGTGAATTGACCACATCCTCCTATTACTGAGTGCAAGGTTCCATGAATCTGCTTTTGCATCTCTGTGCTTCTGCTCTTTGAACAAAGATGGAAGACAGTATGGATTGTTTGGGGTTTTTTTTGGAGGGGAAGGGGCTCTGTGGGGCTTCATGAAGGAAGTACACTAAGTATGACATGTCTTAAGGCAACGTGATGAATGGACTACTTTGTAACTGGCTTTCTTTGACTGAAGTCTTAATGAATGCACCGTGAAGAAATGTTTTTGTGGGAGGAAATGACCATGAAAATCACAAACAATAGATTGTAGCCACAGGACAACTTCCCATGGTCATGGTTGGATCTGAAGAGTACAACTGAGATGGTGAAAATGGTTTTCTCCCCAAGATTCCCATGTAAAAGGTAAAGGTTTCCCTTGACATTAAGTCTAGTTGTGTCCAACCCTGGGGGATGGTGCTCATCTCCATTTCTAAGCTGAAGAGCCACCATTGTCTGTAGACACCTCCAAAGTCATGTGGCCAGCATGACTGCATGGAGCACTGTTATCTGCCCACAGAAGCGGTATCTATCGATCTACTCACATGTGGATGTTTTGGAACTGCTAGGATGGCAGAAGCTGGGCCTAACAGCAGGAGCTCACCCTACTCCCTGAATTCAAACCGCTGACCTTTGGATCAGCAAGTTCAGCAGCTCAGTGGTTTTACCCGCTGCATCACCAGGGGGCCCAATTCCCATGTACTGAGTAGGAAACCCAGAAATGCTTCCCTGAGAATAAACCTGCCACTCACCTCCTGCGTAGTCTGGTCCCAGAATATGCTCCCCTTTTGACATTGTGTTCCTCAGTCCAGCCATGAACCTTATTTCAAATTCTAAAGTCCTCCTCCGTTTTTCTCCCTCATGGCCAGATTCCAATCCAAATCTTGGGTTAAGGGCTACATTCAGAATCTATTAGGCTACTGGGCTTTCCTCTGATTATTAGTCACCCTTTATCAATCTCTATCCTGGTCTTGCATCTTAATGGCAGTTCTCCACCTTGTCCTGAGCTAGGCTTTCATCCAGAATTTCCTTGCTGTACTTGGAGATACAATAGACTGAACCTGGGACCTTCTCTTTATGTACTGTGAATTGATTGATAGGCTTTACCTAAAATGCATGAACTGGATTGGGTTTGCGTTTAATGATGAATCAGGCATAACCTTTGAAATTGCTGGTCCCTGATACATGCCATGATCAAGTTATAATTGTTTTTAGTAGCTAGCTGGAGGCATCATTTTGTCATGCTAGGTATAAGACACCATAATTGAACCGTGTCTCAGAAAATTAGCCCTGGTAAGACACATGCACATTGATTCATGCTTTACTGTACATCTTGAAGTACTTTGAAATGAAGCTTCTGGCTCAATAGGCACACATATACTCACTCACTCACTGAGTAACAGTAATAATTACATTACATCTGGGGCTTCCTACATGAGATTATACATATTCAGCCTCTGCACTCCATAACTATGGTGATGCTTATCTTAATTGGTGCTGTTAAACTGGGTACAGTTTTTAAAATTATTGCTTGAGCTTTTAGCACAGTGACAGACTACTTTAAGGAGATGGATGTCAAAAATGGAAATACTTTTATGCCGGTTGCTCACAGGGTTGGAATGCACAAGCTACTTGCTTCATTAAAAACCAATCTTTATTTTAGGTAGCTACAGTTCAAAAACCTCCACGTTTTTCACAACACTACCCACAAAACATAAATGTTAACTCAATATAGCATTTTGTTTTGAAGGTTCCTTCAGTTTACAACTCAAGGCACTTTACAACTCCAGATCATTTATGATTTTCAGGCACCTTTCCATGAATGGTGCTATTCCATGACAAGAGAAGCAGCACCTTCCTACGTGGGTGGCTACCCTGCTCTCTCTTTCCTCCTACAGATATCATAGCTGCTTCTTCCCAGCAACAAGTTGCCAAATGTACTCAAAGAAAGAGAAAGGAAATGGTTCCTGCTGCTATGACTGCCTCTGTATGCTGCAGAACATGGCATATATCACTGGGCTCCTCTTTCGTCAAACTTTAGACATGCTCACATAGCATTTGCAGTTTAAAAATGAATCCAGGAAGTCCCCGAGGCTAAGCGGTAAATACACAATTGTGAATAGTGTCTTTGTGTTGAAGTGAGGAGGAAATGTTATGGGGAAATCTGGCAAGGATATGTTATTTAAGTCATGGCAGGTTTCAAAGCATACCTAACTCTGCTCACAGACTGGCAGTGGAGAAGGAGCCATGAATGAATTCCACACCTGCTCTGGAGAGTCAGGGGTCACCCAGTCTTAGGCTGGATCTACACTGCCATATAATTCAGTTTCTGAATCCAGATTATCTGCTTTGAACTGGATTATATGAGTCTGTACTGCCATATAATCAAATTCAAAGCAGATAATCTGGATTCAGGAACTGGATAATATGGCCCTGTAGATGGGGCTTTAGTCTTTGCACTGATCCCTTAGCTCCTTCTGCAGCTGTTTAAACTGCTTGAAGTCCACAATAGGTCTCTGCACTTCTTTCGATTTGCTCACCACTTTCTTTATACTTGTCTAAGAACTGAGATCTGGAGGGAGGCCTTCCTTAGTGTCCCACCGTCATGGGTAATTTACCTTCAGAGGATGTGTCAGAAGCCGTCTTCTGCTGTGGCATCTGTCATGGAATAACTCAGAGGCTTAGTTGGTGCCAACATAGGTGTCATGCCACCACCAACTAAAAACATGTGTTTTTTTTTCTTAAAGCCTTTGGGGCATAATTGATATTTATTCAAATTTGCATGTTATGGGTTTTAACTATTTTGTGTTAACTTGACAAATTATTTAATATGCTTTAGTCTACTTACATTATTTTTTACTCTTTTGCATAGTTTAATTTCGTTGAACAGATTTTATGGTTTGAAACAGATTTTAGAATGAGAGACACATATTTTGATTAATTAGTTAATAATAACATTCCATTATTTTAAAAAGACAGCCTGTTTCCTCTGTCTTTCTGTTTTCTCTTCATTATCTCCTGTGGCATAGCGGCTGTGTAGAAATCCCTCTCAAGATTCCCAAAATTAGGCAAGCAGGGCAATAGGACTTGAACATTGTCCATTTGCCATATTTATATTTCCCTGCACCTTGCTGAGCGGCTGTATGGAAGAACAAAAGCCAGTTTTGCTTGCTCTTTTTGTTGAATTACAAGGCTTTGAAGCAGCAATGATTATTTTCCATGAACTCTAGAATTACTAACAGTCCCTTTGAAGTCACTGAGTTTGGCTTTGATAGCACAGGGGGTGGGGTGTCACATTGTACTCTATGGAAGTGGAAGAAGCAAACTATTAAGATATGTAGGATTCTGATGACCCAGTGAGAGGCAGGACCAAGGATTGCTGAGTTGAGGTATTGACTTTTCACTAAATTGTGAAAAAAGGTCCCAAAGCTCTAACTAATGTATACGTTTACATTATCAGGAAGTAATTTGCAGTTGCAGCCCCTCCCCCTTGCTCAGAATGGCCATTTTGCTTAGCTTCAAATGGCAAATGGCCATTTTGATTTCCATTAATGTTTTGTTAGATAACTTAATGTCATTTCAGCCACCACTATGGGGTGCTACAGGCCTGCCTTTAATGCCCATTATACAAATCTAAATTGCACTATTCAGCAATGACTGTTACATCTGAATTAAAAGACTATTAAATCTGTAAATTCAAGTCTGCCACTGAAAGAAAGCTATTACGGTAGATTGTTTCCAGCACTAGCAGAGAGCTCCCATCTTCCTGGCTCTGCCATCAAAAAGGGCCCAGGAGTCTCTTTCCCCTTCTTCTGAGGGGCACAGAAGGGTGAGAGGGGATCCTCCACAGCCTTATCTCCTTTTAGTCTGCATTCCACTGAAGATTCTCTATTCTCCCGAATTTGAAGGCTTTGGGCATGGTGAGTCAGTCTGGACAGGGGAAAGAAGTGGATTTAGTTTTGGTGCATGCTTTCTCCCTCCAGAGTTGGCCTTGACAAATATCGCTGTGACACTTCTGCCTCAAGTCAAGTAGAAGAGTCTATGTGTTACAGCCTGCTTAATGTGAATTGTTTTCCCCCAAGGCTTACAAGGTTGGTGGCTTTGTAGCGTATCCACAGATTACAGAAAGCCCTAGAAGGCTGCACAATTCAGAGCTTGGAGGGCCATAACATTTGCAGAGTCCAAGATTTCTACCAAACTTTGACAAGTGGGTTTCTTTCCTGCAGGGGTAAGGAATGGACAAACACAGTGCAAATTTCCTAGTACAATGGAAGAGCCCCTTTGGTTAATGTTGTAGTACCAGCCTCTCTGTGCAGAAACTTGGCTCTACAGAAGGGTGATGTTCCCCCCAAAAGATCTGGTTGAAATACATTTGGCTTTGTCCCATGGGACACTTATACTTGGAATTAAAACTTCATCTACTGCAAGGGTGGGCAACTATCTGGAGTCCAGGTGCCAATTCTTCCTCCTCTGACCTCAGTATACAGTAAACCCACATATCAGTTTTCCTCTGTAGTCCTTGTCAAAATGGAAATATTGCATCATTTCACCGTTCTAAGATAGAATATAAAAGAAAATTGATGTATTTGGGTAGTACAACAACAGGTTCGAAGGTACTTAGGAAGGGGGTATTTTCATAAGTTTTTATGTATTTTCAGTGTTTTCTGCATGCTTTGGTGCAAAAATTACCTGAAAATTGAAATTTACAAAACTCACTATATTTTACAAAATTAAGTATATTTCCTCATGTTGACCTAGAACACTGCTTCTTAAACTGTGGGTCCTGTTAGTCATGAAAGATTTGGCAACAGTAAAAGGTTTCTGAACATCACCGATTTACACTAATTGGTTGGCAACAACGTGCAGTGTTTACAGTAGACTCTGCAGAAAAGGCTTCAGCTGTACTCCACAAAAAGGGAAATCAACCTGTTGAGCAAGCCATGCAGATGTTGATTTTATACCTATTTCATATGCCTGCAGTTATGTAAAAAGGGGTCGCATATGTAAAAGATTTTAAAAACCTAGAGGGTGACTACACATAACTTTATATGGATATCTTCCTGAAGGTATCAATACTCTTCAGGGCCGTTCTTTTCTGTCTGGAGAGACACTTTTCTTGTCGACCTCAAAGAAGACATCAAATTTTACTCCTTCCACTTAAGGACATTAATAGACACAGAGAAAGATACAATCTGTTTCTCCAAAAAGAATGGCGAAACTTGTTCAGGAACCAGATTAATCAGAGAAGGAAATCAGTGGACATGATGTCTTTAGTTTATTCTTCTAGGCTCATGATTTCATGCCTGCATGTGGTATCTTGGACATGCCTCCACTCTTATTTGCCGTAGTGTCTTTCCTTGCCACAACTATTCAGAGAATAGCCACAGCTATTCAGATGTCTCTGTGTTACAGTCAAGGAGATCCCAAATGGTATATAGTGGGTGTGGCCTCTGCCGTCAGGTGGAGTCCATGTCAACATCATGGCCAAGTCTTAACAGCAGTTTAGTAGCATACAAAATTTTATATTGTGTTTATTTATTAAGACCCACGACATAGTTTCACTTTAGCCTGAAGGTTCAAAGCTGGGAACAGGCCAGGAGAGTAAACTTTCCTGTTACCAATTTCCTGGTAGCTATTAAGAGGGGAGAGGAATCTATTGTCTGCATAGATTGATTTTCTTTGCTTTATTTTGTGTAACCTTTGGAGTTTACCTTCCACTGGCTTTCCGTAAGGGGCGTATCTTTTCTTTAGTCACATAAATGCAGGCACACAACTCTAAAACTCAGTTGGCCTGCATGTATATCACTGTCTTAGAAGTATGTGTGAATTTCAAAACTATACAATAGCTCTGACTCTCCATTCAATGACTCATCGTTGTTTTCTTACAGACATCCCTTGGCATTGCTCAGCAAACCTGTCCCTAACAGGGCGATGCTGGGATTTATCATAGCTAACAGTAAACAGGATGCTGTGAGACAGAGAATTTAAGGCATGCATCCTAATTTCTAGGTCAATGGCTACTTTATTCCAGTAATCCTTTCTGACCCACTGGCCCAGTACCTGTCCTAGGGCACCACCCTATATAAGCTTGCATATAGGTCAAGCTGCAAGAAGGGTGTCAAGGAGAAAAAGATTTAATTTACTCCACCTTTATCATATAGAACATGAAGGACATGTGTTCTGTCCTTTGGCACTTAAAAATAAAGAATGTACTTTCACATCATCTCTTGACGTATGGTGACCCCACTAATTTCATAGCATTCCACACCCTCTGGAAACTGAATTTAATATTACAAGTTTCAATATAGTACAGGCAGTCTCCAAGTTACGGACAAGATAGGTTTGTTCTTAAGTTGAATTTGTTTGTAAGTTGGAAGAGGTATATTTTTAAAGTGTAACTCCAGCTATATATATATACTAGCCATGCCCTGTCACTCGTTGCTGTGGCCTATATTAAGAATTTTCAAAGTAGAGGTAGCTATCTGGACTATTATGAAAGAGAGGTACCTACTTATTCCTTCCCTCCTTTTTCTTCCCCCTCCACTTTCCCTTTCTGTCCTTTCTTCCTTCTCTACCTCTTTCTTTCATTCCTTCTTTCATTCTTTGGTTTCATCCTTCCTTCTCTCCTTCCTTCCTTCCTTACTTACTTACTTACCTCTTTCCTGCGTTTCCTTCCACTTTTCTTTCCTTTCTACTTTCTCTTCTTCCTTCCTTTGGTACCTCTTTCTTTCCTTCCTTCTCTCTTTCCTTCCTTCATTCCTTCCCTTTTCCCTCCCTCCTTTCTTCTCTGCTTCCTTCCTGTCTGTTCTTCCCCAATACCATGGTAGAGTCCCTTCTAATTCTATTCTATGAGACTATTTAATATAGTAATATATAGTAGTAACATATTATACAGTAATATATATGAGGAGTATTTTTAAGTAAGGTCCGTTTGAACATAAGTACACAACAAAAGTTTATTTCAAAAAAGTAAATTTATTTTCAGAAAGTACATACTTCACTCTATTTTTTGACATGGTTGCCAAGTTTGTTCAAACACTTATCATACCTCTGAACCAATTTTAAAATACCCTCTTCATAAAAACTTGCCACCGCCAAAAGCCACCAAATCGTCTGTAATCAAAGAAGGGCGACCGGAGCGGTCCTCATCATGGACGTTGTCACAGTCATCTTTGAATTGTCGTACCCACTTACACACTTTGCTTTCACTCATAACAGTATCACTGTACACTTCACAAATCTGTCGATGAATTTCTGCAGCAGGCAGGTTCCTTGCTGACAAAAACCATATCACTGAGCGAACCTCACATGCGGAGGGTGAGTTGATAGTCTTAAACATTTTTAAAGCACAGAACAGAACCGTACAGGTTAGCTACAGAGCGGAAACTGAGCACAGTTGTTCCCGAGGCATGCCGGTACACAACGCACGCGCTCGTTGTGGTATGCGCGTGAACTACTAGTGTCTACAACAAAACGGACCTTACTTAAAAAATACCCCTCGTATGTATATATATATGTATATATATGTATTATATAGCAATATATATAATAGTAATATATAAAGTGTATGTGCGTGTGTATATATATCATCAACCAGTGATCCAACATCCATCCATCTTTATATACATGTGTGTGTGTGTGTGTGTGTGTGTGTGCACGTGCATGTGTGCATGTGTGCATGTGTCTACACTGCCATATAATCCAGTCCTAAGTAGATAATTTGGATTTTACATGGCAGTGTGGAAGGGGTGACTTTGGGTGTATCTACACTCTAGATTTAATAAAGAAGGATGAAGCTGATGAGGAGAGGAGAAAAGGGAAGGAAAGAAAGGGAGGGAAGGAAGGAAAGAAATGGAGGGAGGGAAGGAAAGAAAGGGAGGGAGGAGTGATAGAGAAAAGGAAAGGAAGGGAGGAAGGAGGGAAAGGGAGTGAGGGAAAGAAGTAAAGGAAGGAGAAGGAAGGGAAGTAGAGAAAGGGACTGCCAACTGTTTGGCCATCTGTTGTGAGGGCTTTGATGGTGTCTTCCTTTACTGCCAAATGAGGTTGGGCTGGATGGTGTTGGAGGCTCCTTTCCAAGCAACGTCAGTTTCGTGCGTCCCTATGACCCCCATCATGGCACCTTCCTCCTTCCCTTGTGCTGGGAGACATAGAGTCAAGAGTGTGTACACAGAGAGTGGCCTGCCTTCCCCCCCTCTCCTCCCCCTCCTCCTTCTCCTCAGCCGCTGCCCTTTGATCCCTTGCCTTAGTGTTAGTTAGGGGCTGAGAGATATGCAGGGAGCAGCAGCCATTGCCGCCGCTGCTGCTTCGGAGCCCTCCTCTTACTTTTGACACTGTGGCATATGAGCCACCCCGCCACCGCTCTTCCTCACCCATTAGGCCCCTTCTCCTGCCTCACCTTCCAAGGGCTGTGAAGGCAAAGCGGAAGGGGAAGTAAGGTGGTCTTGCTGGCTGTGTCCTCAGCGCAAGGCGGGGGGGAGCAGGGGAGGTGTGTTGTCTTCTTCTTTTTTTGAATTTAAAGGTGTTTTGTGAGTTTCCATGGAGGGATTGATACTTCAGAGGTTCTCCGTTATAGTATTTTTCTTCTAATGTGTGCATGAAATGTGCTGTTTGGCCACAGCATTCAGTTCTTGCTCTCTTTCTCTTCTATCTTCCAATTGGCAATATATATTCTGCTAAAACAGCAGGGCAAAACAGCAGGGCAAAGGGGGACACCAAAAAAGCCTCCTTGAAGACCAAGTAAATACAGTTGGGCGTCCCCTGGGTAACGTTTCTTGTAAACAGCTAATCATCCCAACCCAAAAGCATTGCTTTACAATATTTATGCAATGCTTTTGACACAAAATAATAATAGCAGGGCAAAAACAGCAACAACAAAAGCAATGTTGTTATATAACTGTAGTCCTGATTACCTCAAAAGCATTAGCTACCACCCTGCATCTAAATACAATACAAAATGTAGGGACTTCCTTAATACATAGCGCATTATGTCTGAAAGACTACATCATACTTTACAACTGGTCTGATTTGGCAGGGACGGTCCTGATTAATCTTGTTGCCCCACATATTTGGGCAACTGAGTTTCAAAAAAAAGGATGAAATTGGCCTGTTAGTCTCACTGCAAGGTTACAAACATTCTCACAAGATTTTTGTGTTGCAGGTCACTGAACTTTATTCATTTTTCCATTTAATTTTTTTACTATCACATCTAAAACGGCTCCTATATGTCCAGGATGTACACCCTACTTTTGAAACTGCTCCAGGGCCCCATACCCGTCTAATCTGCAATTCTTATCAGTCTGTGTTAGCAACAAAAAATATGGAATATAGTGGGAGTTGCAGCCTAGAAAACATTTGGAGGCCATAGCCTTCTTCCCTGATAAAGAAAAGCACATGATGGTTACATTTTGTACCATTTTATAAATGCACTCTTGTGCATGCGCAAGGAAGATGTGGAGGAAATATGCATGAAATTAAATGTATTTGTACAGCCCCAAAATAACTGTATAATTTAAAGCAGGTGGGAACCGAAGCTTAAGGCAAGGTAGATGCTTAAATTCTCTAATCAATTTAAAGAATTATCATAATTAAACAGGAATTCAGAATGGAAATCATGCCAAAGGAAATATGCCTAACAGTAAAATATGAGAAAGATTGTATTTTTCTTTAGGATTCTAAAGAAATGTTCACAGGAGAGATAGAGGGAGATTTTCACCAGACGGGACAGGAAATTATGAAATGGACATTATGGACATTCCACCTTGTGCATTAATTCACTGCATCACTAATCATGTAGTCAGCTTTAGTATCGGTTTCTCCACCTACTAAACAAGGATGATGAACTTAAGTTCTGCAGATGAAAGATTTGCAACAAAACGACAACATTCTCATGGCCTTAGTAGCAGGAGAGGAAACCAACCAATTACAATGCAGTGAATTGTCCTGGACAGGGGCAGGGCTTAGTTATCCTCAGGTGACATATCCCATGTGGCATCATTAGTTTCAGGTCCAACCAGCTGAACAAGTCTCATTCTGCGCTGGATGAAATTCCAGCCATTGTTAAATAAGCATACAGCTGAAGGTAAAAACATAGGCCAGGACTACAATTCAAAAGGTGGCTTCAAAGATAAGATAAGTGTACGGTATGTCCGAGGAGATTTAAATCTACAAATGATGCTGTGTTGCAAGAAGCTGGCTAGATGAGCATCAAAGATTCCTATCAAATGAGTCTGTAGAGGTGGTAGATAATGGTCACAAATCTTCCCATAACCATTGCAATAGTCAAATGACTCCTACTCACTTTCCTTAATATGAATGAAAGTGATACATTATGAGTTTATTTGGAGTTATTAAATATAGTTCCAATGTTTTCACTTTACTCAACTGTAGTGCTGTTGGTGTAGTGCAGCGTTTTCATTTCGTTTTCTATGGCTGCATCCTATGGAGTCTTGGGATTTGTAGTTTGGTCAGAGGCACCAGAGGAGAAACCCTCTGACTGAAGATGCTAAGTTCTCCTTCCTAAATTACAAATCTCAGGATCCCACACAATGGCAGTGAATGGAGTAATACTGAAGATCTCTTTGGTCAGCCACATCTCCACTCTCACCCTCCAAAAACCTTGGAATTGGCATGGTAATTTTTTAAACAAAATCTAGATTGCAATAGAAACCCAGAGGCCAAAATGCTGAGGTCAAACTTAAAATGTTTTGAGCACTGGAGCCTATCTGGAAGTGGTCCAATGTAGTTTATCCTTTGCAAGATTAAAGGAGATGCCAGCTATATGCCAGTGCTGATTGGTCGCTGTTTTGTCATCAGTCCTTGTCCTAAAACCCCGAAGGGATATCATGTTGGATCACTGGCACTCCTGTTATGCCTGGTATTTTATGACTGAAGCCAGAAGGAAGTCAGATTCACCTTGCACTGGAAATGTCATGCCAAGCCTTTCCTCCCCAGTATCATATCTGTAACACTGCAAGGAGAGCAGCCTAATTGTGTTAATTCGATGGTTCAAATGCACAGCTAGAAAGAAAGCCCTGGATTCAGAAAGGCATTGTCATGCATTTGGAAATTCATTTCAGCTCTTTGGTGGAAAGTTCTTAAGAATAAACGTTGTTTACTTTTACATGTTCCCCACCCTTCAGCCCCTGAACAAGTAAGGAGAGAGAGTACATTAAACATAAGGCTACCAAACTGGAGACAGCTTCTGTACTTTTAATAGTTGTGTCC